AAAATCCAAATAATTCACTTTTTAATTCCAATAATACTATTTCCACAATTTCTTTTAATTCCAAAACAATATTAATTCTCACAATATTAATATTAATAATAATAATAATAATATCAATATTAATATTAATTATTATCATTATCTATTATATAATATTAATATTATGTTCCTCATTTCCTCAACAATTTCTACACAAAACACGCTGAAAAACGAAATAACATTGAAAACTAAAAATAATTAAAATGGGTGTTACGCTGTTCTATTCTCTTGTATTGTTTAACCCTTGCTGGTTGTGATTGATTCTATGTTTGGGGATGAACAGTGAGAGTGTATGTGCGATGTAGAGTTTGAATGCTTGATACTCGTTTGATTTGAATGATTGAATTGATGTATGTTAGTATGCATGGATATGAGGATGGGTGATATATATATATATATATATATATATATATATATATATATATATATATATATATATATATATATATATATATATATATATATATATATATATATATATATATATATATATATATATATATATATATATATATATATATATATATGCATATGATGTGTGATGAGATGTGGTCAGGGGACCGTGTGTGCTAGTGTTGTTGTGTGCATGAGGTTTGCATATGCATGTTTACGGGGTGAATCATTGCTCAGATGGAGCGTATGTAATTCACTCGCGTGCTTTAAATGGGGAGCGTGGTAGTGATAGATTGTTGCTCAGAGGGAGTGGATGCGATATATCCTGAGTGTGATTTTCCTGGTGCTCCGGAAGGGAGTGGTAAGGATAAATCGTTACTCAGAGGGAGTGGATGCGATCTATCCTGAGTGTGATTTACCGGGGATCTAAATGGGAAGCGTGGTAGGGATAGATCGTTTCACAGAGGGAGCATATGCGATCTATCCTGAGGATGGTTGACGAACCAGTGATGTTGAGTCGGTACCGCATATCATGGATTGTGTTGCATATATTTGCATGGTTGTGAGTGTTGTGTTGGCATGGGACAGTAGGTCCGGATTGATGTATATGAATGAATATTTTATATATTTCTGCCTATATATTCATGTACGTTATTACCGTTATGATTTGATCTTGATTTCTCACCCCTTTACTTTTGTCGTGGTCTGTGCTTCTTCGGAAGTACAGATAATCCAGGTATATAGCTAGCTTGGATTATGGCGAGTCGTAGGATTGCTCTGATACGTAACACCGGGGCTTTTTGGGAGTTTATTGTTTATTGATGATTTTGTGTGCCCCTGTGGCGTATCATGTTTTGTTGAACCCGTTGTGGTGGATGTATTTTGTATATTTTGGCGGTGGCCGTACATGATGATTATGACATTTATGTATATGATGTGAATCTATGTATATAATTCCGCTATTTAATTATCGAAAATCATTAATGAAGATGTTTTCTTGATGTGTATTTTCTGTGACATCCCATTGTGTATGTGAATACTCTGATATTCGTTTATTTTATTGCAATTATTTGTGTTTTTGGAAACGGGGTGTTACATCATATATATTCATCATCCTTATTCACTCATTATTCGAAAACACATAATAAACTATCGAAATCCTAAAAACCAAATTGGTGGACTGTTGGATCATTGGTCATTTGCAGGAACCCTAATTTTGAGTCGTGCCCGACTTTGCTCAAGGCGTAGTTTAGGCACAATGCACACACACAGCTTTCTCTTGGGCTACCTGACAATGAAACCCCTTTATTTCGTGCAATCCCGTGTAACTTACATGTATCCCTCTCCCATTCCGATGTATGTTTTGCATTTCTTTGATTATCGATTTATCTCCTAGGAGCACCCATAGGGACTAGAGCGGATCAAACTATTTTCAAACTAATTCTCGATTCGTCATCGAGCCATTTTCAAACACCTCGTAAGTCGAGTGCTCATACGCATTCGCCATCAACCTATTGCACACAACTCAACCCTTGATGCGTAAGTCAAGTCAGTTCCGTTTTTCAAATCATTTCCTTTCCAACACGCTTTGCACGCGATAATAAGTCAAACCCTTGATCCAACGTCAAGTGGATTTTCATAACAAATTATCAATCAATTAACAACTATTCAATTCTTTTCAAGGTGTAAAGAGTGAGTTCAAGTCTTTGAACTTGCTTTCGGTTGTTTGGATGCGAGTTATCTTATTCGTGTGTGAGCAATTGACGCCTTTAAATAACATTAACAACTCGACAGCATTCAACCATCTCCAACTACTCATCCTTTCACTCACCTTTCAAACACATTTCTTTTGTGATGAAAAAGAGAGTGTTCCAATTCTTTGGCTCGCTTTCCCGATTACTTGGGTCAAAGAACTCTTACTTAAGCTTCAAGTAATCGTCATTAGTTCAAACTCACCTTTTCAAGTACAACCCTATCTTCAAGATGAAAAAGAGAGAGCTCAAAGTCTTTGGTTCACTCTCCCGATTATTTGGGCCCGAGAGGTCTTTCTTAAGCTTCAAGTAATCGTCACCCGTACCCACTTCAAACCAATTCAATCCCGTTTTCCTTTCGTGGTCGTTACCACGAACTACGACTGCTCTGATTCTTCATTCTCGTCCGAATGTAAGATACGTAGGCACAAGATTGCAATGATCTTGGCGAACTACCTCCCCTCCATTTCTCCGTATCCTTTTCGTGGTTGTTACCACGAACTACGAATGCTCTGATTCTTTATTCATTCTTGAATACAAGATACGTAGGCACAAGATTACGATGATCTTGGTGAGCACAATCCCCTCCATCTTCCGTTTCCCCTCATCTTTTCCCGTAATCGAACTACGAGCGCTCTGATTTCTCATTCTCGTCCGAATGAGCATACGTAGGCACAAGGGCCTCAATCCTTGGGGAGCACCCTATCCTCTAACTATCCCCTTTCCCCTTTGCGTTTATCCCCTTATAGTATCGTTTAATATTTAGTATTGAGAAGAAAAGAACTAAGTTTAACTAACTTTCATCACAACTCGAATTAAGAGGTTCCCGTTGAGTACAACGGGCGTGAGAGGTGCTAATACCTTCCCCTCGCGTAACCGACTCCCGAGCCCAGGAACATTTGGTTGCGACGACCGTGTTCCTTCCGCTTTTAAGAGATTTTCTCGATATTTTCCTCTCCTATTCATTCGGGATAAATAAAGTTCGGTGGCGACTCTGTCGAACCGCATTTCCGCGCGATGGTCGTATGTTCGGAAAAAAAATTTTCGAAGTGCGACACTATCCTACTTACTTGTGGACATCTTCATGGATTTCCCCTTAGTTATGTTTTCAAGTATTCGTTGAGTTGCCTTGAACATGTCTTGGTCATTCTACTTTGACCCTACAAGGACAAAAATCAACACATAAGCATAGGCGTGTATTTAAGTCAATTCGAACCAACGCATTTAGAAACACCAAAAGGTCATGTGCATTTCACCCTACAAGGACAAAAATCAACACATAAGCATAGGCGTGTATCTAAGTCAATTCGAACCAACGCATTTAGAAACACCAAAAGGTCATGTGCATTTCACACTTTCATAACAACATTTCATTCAATCCTAACTATGCTAACCTTATTTTCAAACTAATTTAACATTCCAAAACCTAAGACAAGTAACCTAGTGGATAAACCTAAAATAATTCTCCACTTTACAATTTCATTTTCAAAACATTAAAGCATTCACATAATAACCAATTCAATTTCTTTCTAACCTAACATTTGCAATGCATTAGGAACTCATAAACCTCTTCATTCCTTTCAAAACATCACAACTAGCCAAGCTACTAACAACTCTACTCCTATTCAAACTCATCAACATAATGTTCAAAATGCCCATACATATACATGCATAACCTTACAGCATTGCAGCCATCATGACATCATATAAAAATCAATTCAATTTCTTCATTTGCTGACATGACAGTAGCATTTAGCAAAGCAAATTAACATTCCAATTCAATTTATAACCAATTGTAACAATAAATGCTATGCTAACTTAATTAAATAACAGTTCCATTTTAACAAACTTCACCTCATCATAATACTTCTAACAATTAACCTATTTCTCTAACAGCACATTGTAACTAACTAACCTATTAACATTTCACTAACCAAAATCCAAGCTAACACCTAACTGCAAATTTAACAGATTCAGTTTTAACATTTCTCCATTTGAAACCAATTAATTGAATTCCCAAACCAAGGTTAGCAGAAGCTAATTGTTTTTCCAAAGCCGCGATGAGAGAGATATTGTGGTTATGGACATTTTGAAAACTTCAAAATAGATTACTATTAATTATGGGTTATAGATTACCATTAACTATTCTCTCTATTTTAAAGAGACTATCTGTTAATAAAATTTACACACATATTAAGAAATGTGCTATAGTTGGACATGACACTATTACTAAATTAAGTTTTATAATTATTGATACTTTTTCCACCATCATAAAGTGACACCAATTCTAAAATGAATTGAGTACTCTTTTTCTTTCTTAGAAAGAGTGCTTGGAAAAAATGGAAAAGAAGCACTTAAATGTGGTAGATGAGTGAACAATGGCAACATTGATGGAGTTGGTGACTTGCAAGGACCAAATGGTTTGATATGGTAACATTTTCTATTCTTCTGTTTAAAGTTTAAACTGAAGTTTCAATCCTAATAAATAAATAACTACTCCATTCATTACCTGTCACATTAACTGCATCAAATGACTGTTTAAGGTTGAATTTAAAATAAGAAAAGCAACAAAACACTCCATGTAATCATGTCATTATAGACTATAGTCATCTACTCATATGATCATATATATCCATATCAACAAATGTAAAATGGTTTATCTCAAAATTTTCTTTACACTAATTTACTAGTACAATCACATAACTGCATTACCTCTCAGTAGCTATAATCAACTGTAAGTAAGACCTAGAATTAAATTACCTTATAAACAAAACTCAAAAAAAAAAAGAAACCTCTTTTCAATTTTCATATACAAAATTACAGATCCCTTCTGCATAATGGGCAAGAACCATGCCTCAAGAGCCACATATCTATGCAAGGTAGATGAAACATGTGATGACAATGAGGTAAGCTTCTAACCGTTTCTCCAAGCTGAAAGTCCTGCATACGTATATCAATAATCAGAAAATGTCAAAATCAAAATCAAATTCAAAATCCAAACACAAAATAACACTTTGTTGTTCATGTGATATAGGTAAGCACTATCAACAAATTACAAAAAAAAACTAACCTGGAGACAAACTGAACAAGAAACTTTCTCCCCTGATGCATCAACATTGTCGGTAGTGATTTTGATTTTCGGGATTTTTGCAACAGAATCTCCGGATAAACCTTTCGAACCACCAATGTCAAAGAGGTTTTGAACCTCATCAAAGCTGGTTTCAACAGCACCCATCTGATAAACAAACCAGAAGTGTCAGAATTAGAAATACTATGAAATAGTGATCATTACAAAACTGAAAATTCTCATGTACAAATCAAAATACCTGACTTTGAACCGCACTCAACATTGCAGGACCAATCCTCTCACGCACGAGTCTCCCACTCAACAAACTAGCAATAACATCAATCTGCATAACTCAAAAGGATCAAAATCCAAACCACAAAACATGCAAGTATGTAACTACAATAGAAAAGCTTCCAACACAAGAAAAGATCTCAATCTAACAAAATCTACTCACCAAATATAAAAGACAACCAATCCCAGATTCATCAGAATGCCAAAGAACAAGAGATGATTCAAACACTTCAATCGAAAAAACAGCTCCTGATATAGCACCAACAGCAGCACCTCGAATGAAACCACTTTCTGTCTCTTGACCTATCAAAGCTCCTGTCATAGCACCCAACAACGTCCCCACTGCATAACAAAACAACAACAACAACCCATTAAACCTTAAAAAACACAAATGCCACACCTCAATCTTAAAAATCAAAGAAATAACCAAAACAATGAACATCCAAACCAAACCAATCAACAAAATTGCATACACACCCAAATCGAAAGTTTCATTTTTTTTCTTCAAAATTTCACATAACCAAATCAGATTTTTCTCATTTCCAACAAATTGAAAAACGAAATTACATAACAACAACACATTGACATTGCAAATTCACACCCAAAAAGGAAACAAATCAATAAAATCAGAACAATAATCAGAAACAAGAAACAAACCTAATGCGAAGCAAAAGGTCAAGATCGCAGAGAAAATGTTCCCAATGATCGCGGAAACAGCGAGAGTTCCAAATTGTTTAACCTTGTCAACGAAATTCCCGAAGCAACCGAACAAAATTGAAGGAGAAGGACAAGGATTTTGCACGAAATCCATCTAGGTTAGTCAAAAATCGCACGAATCGTACAAACAAAACAAAACAACAACAAATGGTAAAGTGCGTTCGGTTTGAATTGATGTCACAAGAATTGGGTTTAAGAAGGAGTTATATAATAACACAATAATATTAAAAAAATAATAATAAATAGAAGAAATGAAGAATAATAACAATATGATAATAAAAAAGAACAAAAATTGATATTTATAACGAGAGAAAGCTTAATGTGTAAGACAGAAGAAAGAAAGAAACTCCGATCAACCAACTCGCATTTAAAGCTTGTGTGCCTTAATAAGACCAATTTTCAAAATTTCTCTATCTGCTTATTTTTTAATTTTCCTTTTTAAAACTGTAAATTAATTTTAATTAGGTTTAGATTAGGTTTAATCCTAATTTTGTGTAAATCAGTTCCAAAATAGCACGGGTTGAGATAGTGACAAGTAATTGTCACATGAAATTAATTTGTTACTGTTAATTTTAACAACTTTTTTAGCTTAGTCAATTAAAGATATATCTGATGGGTTTCGTTGGCTACGGTTTTGTCAACAAGTTGGATTATTATGACAACATTTATTTAATATTGTACTATCTAATGTTATTTTTTATATAAATATAAAGTAGTGTATTGATTTAATTTTATTTTTGTCGAGTGTAGGGTATGTGACGAAAATATCTGCATCGGGTAGGGGTAGTAGGTGGGTTGCAGCAGACTTTACTAGGAATGTGATATGGTACCGCATTAATAGTACTATATGCATGTTGTATTTAATGTGATACTAGTATCACTTTTTCAGATCCAGTGGCTATTGCTAGTATCTATTTTGTGAATTTTTATCTTATTTATTTCAGATAAATTTTTTTATGGATATTAAAATTGCAATTAAAATAAAATTCTATTTGTCTTATAAGAAATCTTTTTAAAATAACTCAGTAAACTTTTCCTGATCAACAGCTCCAAACTAGGCCTAGAAATAACTAGAATATTCATTCACTTTGTTGAAACATCGAGACAAGACAATTTTGCATGCAATCCTTAGAACATTTTATGCATCATGTGAATTTTAACAAATCTAACAACATAATGAATGTTGGAACTAGAAGTTTCTTGATCTTTCACACTAAGTATCACTACCAATATGAAAAAACCTCCTTTACCCATTTAGGAGTCTTCTTGATCTCAATTTTTTCTTCTTCTTCAAATATGATACAACCAAGGACAGAGGCACACATAGTGGAATATGGGTTGTTGGCTTGTTGCTCCCTGCTTACTTGATTTTGGGTTTAGTAATAACATTTTCTTATACCACTTATTTAATAATACTTCAATAATTTAATATTTATTTTAGGCATAATTCAAAATATTTCTTCTGCAAAATTAATGTTTTCATATAAAAAACTATCAAAAGTATTTTTAAAATTAATTTTTATTTTGCGTAAGAGAATTATGACAAATAAAAATAGGTGTTCAATAATAATTTTTGAAGAATCAAATATCTAATAAGATATAAAGTATTAAATATATATTTGATCATATACATAAAAAATACATATTTTTAATAGCATTAAAATAAAATAATCATACAATAATTTAATTAATATGAATTTTCCCTACGTATTAAGATTTATGGCCCAATCTCCTGAAATAAAATTAACTAATGATGTATTATCAACGATACATTCTAAAATCTCAATCTCTTAATGACTTTAATTTTTTGATAAAAAATATAAAAAAGTTAGGAATGAGACTAAAAAGATGGTGAGTGAAAGAAGAACCCAAATTTTTTACGAATTATATAAATTTTTAGGAATTAAGGAGGGAGAAAATTCTATATACAAACTTGTTAAGAGAAGAGAAAGAAAAACTAGATATTTGGATCAATTGAAGTGTATTAAAGATGAAGAAGACAAAATCTTGGTTCAGGAAAAATATATAAAGGATAGGTGGAAGACGTATTTCTACAATCTATTTAATAAAGGATATGATATTTCACAAGCCTCTAGCAAACTGACATTAGAGAAGAGGATCAGAACCATAATTACTACTGTCAGATTCAGAAACATGAGGTAAAGGAAGCATTGAAAAGAATGAGTAACAGTAAGGCGGTTGGATCAGACAACACACATATTAAAGTGTGAAAATTTCTTAAGAGATAGAGGTATAGAGTGGCTCACCAATATCCTTAAGGAAATTATGAGGTCAAAACACATGTCGGATGAATGAATAAGAAGCATTTTAGTTTCAAACTATAAGAACAATTAGGATATACAAAATTGTGCGAATTATAAGGGGTTAAGCTTATGACCTGTACCATAAAGTTATAAGAATATGTGATTGAATGGAGATTAAGAAAAGAGACTCGAGTCACATAGAATCAATTTGGTTTTATGCCTAAAAGGTCTACCATGAAAGCGATTTGTCTATTGAGGCATTTGATTGAGCAGTATCGGATGGACCAACAAATCATGCACTAAATTTTTATTGACTTGGATATGGCACATGATAAATTGTGAAAATCTCTAGAGAAGAAAGAGGTTAGAATTGCATATATTTGAGTTATCCAATATATGTATGAAGGGGTATCAACTATTGTACGAACATAGGATGGAGAGACAAATGATTTTCCTGTTACAATTAGTTTGCATCAAGGTTCAACCCTAAGCCCCTACCTTTTTACTTTAATTTTGGATGTACTCACAGAACACATCAAAGATCTAGCACCGAGATGCATGTTTTTTGTAGATGATGTAGTCCTTCTTAGAGAGTCGAATGAGAATTTAAATAAGAGGTTGAAAACTTGGAGACAAGCTTTAGAAACGAATGGTTTTCACCTACGCGTATGTAAAATGGAGCATATGGACTGTAAGTTTAACAAAAAAATAAGGGTTTCTAACCTAGAGGTGAAAGTTGGAGACAATATTATTCCTTAAGTCACGTGGTTTATATATCTTGGGTCCATAATAAAAAATAATGGAGAAATAGAATGGGGTGTAAACCATCGAATTCAAGTTGGGTGGTTGAAATGGAGAAGGGAATCAAATGTTTTATATGATGGAAAAATACCACTCAAGTTGAAGTGAAAGTTTTATCAGATTGCGGTAAGACTTGAGATTTTGTACGGGACATAATGTTGGGCGGTTAAGAATCAAAACAAGAATAAAGTAAGTGTAGCAGAGAGGATGTTGTGGTGGATGTGTGATAAGATTCTAGAAATGAAAATATTAGAGAGACTGTCAGGATACAATCTATAGCGGAGAAGATGGTGGAAAATAGATTTATGTGGTTTGAGCATGTAGAGAGAAGACTGGTAGATTCTGTATTAAATAAGGTAAATCGTATAGAGAGAAGGGAAACAATTATAGGAAGGGGAAGACCTAGAAAGACTATTTGAGAAGTTATTAAAAAAATATTGATATTAATGATTTAGATAGAAGTGTGGTCCTTGATAAAACATTATGGCAAAAGTTAATCCATGCAGTCGACCCCACTTTGTAGGATAAAACTTAGTTATTATGAACCGATACCATGAGAACCTTGATAACTAAAACTAATATTATTATATGAAGAAACTAAAAAAAGATAGAAACATAGTGACGAAAGAGAACTATTTGTGAATGAATAAATGAAAATGAGGTAGAAAATATCCCTATTTATACTAGTTGCAAGACATTATTTATACACACACACACACACACGCAAATGATACCAATTAACAAATAAATCTGAGAAGCGAAGTTTCTTGATGAACAATTAAATGGTTAGGTTAACACACACACACACCCACACACACCCACACAGAGACAGAGAGACAGAGACAGACAGAGAGAGACAGAGAGAAGAAAGAAGGAGAATATGATTATGCAAACTGTTTTTCTATTCACTTACTCAATTACAGTACAAATGTTTACAAGTGAATAACAACAGGCCTCTCTCAACAACCCGAGAGAACTATCGTGTTTATAGGCTACTAAGCTAACTTAAACAACAAGCTAACCTAAATAATTTGATCCAAGAAACAAGGCCAAATTTGACATTATATACTAGAACTAACTTTGACTACAACATGTAACACTTCGACGTCAGTAATGTGAACTAGCTCCGACTTCATGCTTGCCTCCTGTCGAAACATGAAAGTTATCCCTGCTGACAACATCCTAGTCGACAACACTAGAGTTCGATCCAAAATATCACAAATCTCCACCTTGGAACAAACTCTACAATAACAACAACTAATCTAGCTTTCATCATGCAGCTTTATCAACTACATACAATGGAAAAACTTACAACTTGGTGATCATATCAGCAACATTGTTATTAGTCAAAACCTTCAACACTTGAACTTCTCCATGCTCGATTATCTCTCTGACAAAGTGCAACCTTACATTGATGTGCTTGGTTCACTCATGATAGGCTGCATTTTTTGACCGGTGTATTGCATTTTGATGTATAATTCACCATAACATGCAATCTCACACAAAATGATCACCATGAATTTATCACCATATAATCATCATAATAAACATAACATCATTCTCCACACCAAACAATCAAATTAAATCAATCAACATAATGAAAAACATCAAACACCTCTAAATAGTGACCAAATAGTCACACCATGTCAAATATATATTAACATACAACACTCAATCATGTTAAATCATCTTAACATTAATTCATCATCTAACATGTACAATAAGTCACACAATTATACACATGCTTCACAAAATATACTCACACGTCATTAAAAACATGGTAATTAATCTCACAAGGCACTACCATAATGTAGCTCTATGTGTCAGTTTTCCAACGCTTTAAATTGCGCCTCAATTTAAGTTCTGAAACTCAAGTTACGCAAAAAAATGTCTTGCTTAGTACAAAATCCAAGGAGCCACTACGGTCGATCGTAGCAATACACAGGACCCAAAAACATTATTTTGCAAAATTCCCCTATTTGAGCACCGATTTCGATCCCGTAAAAACCAAAACGCTCAGAATTCATCA